AATGAACTTCTTTGTGTGGTCCTCAGCTGCTACACCCCACATCGTTTTATGGTGAAGAACAAGTTCATTCACCACTGAAAGCACTAAGAGTAACAACAAAAATCCAGTTGTCCTCAACAACTGTTATTCCTATTTAAACCCCAAAACTCACAAGGCAATATAAAAACTTTTACAATTCTTTAAAATTATTTGCTTGAAAGTAAAATTATATATAGTTTAAGAAAATTCAACTACTTAATTATGAAAAGCACAAGATTAAAGATAATCCATTTCCTAGAACAGCATTATACCTAAGTTTGGCTCTGGGTAGAAGCCAACAATTCCAACTGACACAGAGGACTTGCAAGGAAAGAGAGAGGATAGAAAATAGACGAAAATCCCCATGATTTCATCTCCATTACATGGATTAGGAGCATAGCTTTCAGAACAGGCATTATGCAAGCATCTCAAGTGACTGAAAAGACGTTTCTCAACTGTTAAATAGTAAAAACAAAAAGACTTGAAAAAACCTCAAGAGAACACAGTGGGTTTTTTGGCAAAACATGCATTTTTACTTAGATTTATTTCTCTAAAAATTGCACCCCTCTCAGAATGATTCTTTCTCTTGACTCATTAATAGATCAACTGTCTTCAAGGAAAGTGTTGCCTTGTTACATAAGCACTGCTGCTTGTACTTCCAAATTAATATTACAGAAAACAGACTAAAAGGACATCTCTGCTGCTAAAAAGAATCATTACTGCTCTAAAAATGATGTATTCCTTGCATCCTCTAAATCCGAAACCTCAAACTGTATCATTAATAGACATATGCATTTGAAATAATGTTAAGAATTTTACTATTTTTGTTAAAAGTGGCAACTCCTCTTTAAGGAACATCTATAAGGCTTTTTTCCTTTTATGAAAGAAAATTCAACTATTAAATGTTGCCTGCATACTCTCTCAGTTCTCTCCCAGTGAACTGCTGGATAACCAGTCAGACCTCTGCCACATGAAGGATGGAATGCATATGGGGAAGGGTAACCATGAGAATATACTGGCAGACTGCTAGCATTTCATTTTAAACAAGAAAATAGGTTCTTAGCCTGAAAGACCAAAGAACATTGGCTGTAGCAAGTATCTCTGCCTAGTTTGCATTTGGAGTGTCATGAGATTTATGTGTGAGGGAAAAGGGAAGTTGTGAGCATCCAAGCAATAATATAAGGAGTCTGTAGCAAGAGACAAACATATAGACAAGTCTATACTGAATATGGCAGCATGCAGGTGCCAGGTGAGTCTGCACTTTTACCTTCAGAAGGATGTACTATTTGTAATATACAAATTTGCTTTAAAAATACAAATACACAAATACAAATATACAAATTTGTTTATGCAAATGAGAAAAAAATAATCATGTTCAGTAGTTTAAGTCAGTGGAATCACACATCCCATGACTTTTGCTTGGAGAAAAATTAATGCGAGATCTGGGTTTTGAGGTGCACAGAAATCAAGTGATTTACACCATTACTTAAAAGCATGTAAGCAAAAGTCCACCATTTTAGAGTGCTTTTCTTAAAGATACCACTCAGCATCTTACATTAATATGGCATCTCATTCATTTTGAAGGACATGAACTTTATTTCGCCTGACCTGTTGCCTCAGGGAAATTCAGTGACCAGTTACTTTTATTTTTTCTTGAAGACGGTCATAACCTAGAAGTATTAATTGTTTTGACCTATAAGTAAGTGCAAGACCCATGAATTATCCTGTAAATGCTTTTGTCCACTTAAAGCATGGAAGTTACAAGTGAGTTAATGTTTCGTGAATTCATTTGGTTGTCTATTCTACTTATACTTGGAAGTGAGAGATAGCTTTCCATGGCTTCTACAACAGTCAAAACCCAGTGTACAGCACTTCATAAAAGTATAATAGGCCTTTCAATCCTGGGAGATGTAAGCCCTCCACAGAGACTTTCAGTAACAAGGCAGACAATGCTATTACATCATCTCTGCCAAGTTGATCAAACTAGGTCAGTGTCATTGTTTGAGCCTCCTAATTTGAGCCTACTCAGCAGCTAAACGCCCCGCAGTCACTCACCCACCCTCCCCCCACTTGGGAATGGGGAGGGAATCGGAGGGGCAAAGGGAGACTCGCGGGTTGAGATAAAAACAGTTTAATAACAGTAACAGAACAATACACGGACAGCAGTATCAGCGGGTAATGTACCATACAGCTGCTCACCACCCCCCCCCCCGACCGACCGACCGACACCTGCCTGATCCCAGCTGGCAATCCTGAACACAAAGGCCCCACAGCCACACTCCCAGAAGTGGCAGCCCCTCCTAGCCCACTCCTGCCTTTATATAGTGAGCACAATGTCACATGACATGGACTATTGGCCAATCCGGGCCCAGCCCTCCAGCTGTGCTCCCCCCACCCCCACACACAGGTGAGGGCACTGGGACCTGGGGAGCCCCTGGGGTCTCAGTGTGCTGCAGCACTCCTCCTGCTGCCAAACCAACAGGAACTCTAGTCCAGCCCCAAACAGGACAGAGAGCCGATACAGGGAAGCACAAAACAGCGATAGCTTCAAAAAAAGGGACCCATTTCTTGCAAGAAAATTGGGAAAATTAAGAAGAAAAAAGAAAAAAAGTTAAAAAACACAAGAAAAAAACAAGCAATCTGTAGCCTCCAGAAGATAAAAGACAAAGACGCAAAGCATTTTAAGAATGACTACACTCATATATTCAGGAAAATAATTTGATCAATTTCATTGATCATGCCACCGCTGATGCATAGGAGTCATAGATCTACCACCCCACATATATACTTACACAGTTTGAAACTACATAAGCTATCACAGTTGCTCCAGATCAACATTCATTGTTTACAATGAATTGTTTCATTGTTTACAATTAGGCAACATTTTTGCTTTTGTTAACTCAAGAAATCTAAAATTAGAAGGCACAGAAAAAAAAGAAACAAAAGGGACCTTTCCTATTTTTACCTCTTTAACCACCCCTCACCATCTCCCAAAGTCTCTGCTGGCATCATATCAATTTATTATACTTGTGGGTAGAACTTGTCCATTGACAATTGACCTGATACAATTAATATTAAAGCAGTGGCACATGAAGTTTTCCAGAATACAATCTTGATGTTTTATTTGCAAACACGCTAAAGAACCAATACATTGTCCAGACATGGATACCCTCTTGCACCTAATAAATGTAAACACAGAACATAGCTCATGCTTCTATTTCAATACAACTATAGTTGTATCAGTTGTGTTCTCCAGGAGGATAACAAGGTCTTTCAGAGAATACCCGCTATTTATTTTTCCTGTGTCTTCAAAGATCCTCTTCAGCAGACTGAATATTCTTACACTAGTTCTCTTTTATCTCCAGCCCAGAATCTACTACTACCTAATTGTGCTAGACAGGGCTGCCAATTTTTGTTACCACTGTTCAAAAATGTAAAGATAAGCATTGGCATTTACATTAGTAAACCCACAATATGAAGGTTTGCTTAACATCTCTATCAGTGACCTGGATGAGAAGACAGAACATACTCCTATTCTTAAGGTTTGCAGATGACAACCAATTGGGGAAGCAGCTGACACTCAAGAGCAGGGCTGCCACTAGGAGGGACTCAGACACTCTGGAGTAATGGGTTAACAGCAGCCTCATGAAATACAGTCACTACAAATGCTAACTGCTAAGCCCTGTCACTGAAAGTCAGAGCCCTGCAGCCATGAGGCTAGGGCTGTGAAATAGCTCTGGGTTATGGCCCTGGGCACTAGAGGGCAGCAAGCTGAGCCAGGGCCACCTGTGTTGCTTGGGCAGCAACAAGTGCCAGCAGTGCCTAGAGGCTCGTGAGCAGGTCACAGCCCTGAGAGCCAGGGGAGGGTAGGGACTGTCCCCTCTGCTTGGTGCTTGTCAGAACCCATCTCGGCACTGCCTCCAGTTTGTGTCCCCAACACAGAAACACCACCAACACGGTGGAAGGTGAGAGGAGGCCACTGAGGCAGTGGTGCTGGAGCCTTTGCCTTGCAAGGAAAGGTTGTGGGACCAGGGCTGGTTCAGCTGGGAGGAGGGATGACTTTGGGGGCACCCAACAGCATGCCTAGCACTGATGGGACGGAATGCAGGAGATGCAGTCAGGCTCTTCACAGGGGTGTATGGCAGGAGGGCAAGAGGCAGCAGCACAAGCTGACACAGGAGAGGCTCAGGCTGGAGATAAGGAGAAGCCTTTTCCTGCTGAAGACAGCCCAGCAGTGAAGCTGGGACCCAGGGAGGTTGGGCCATCTTTGGCCAGTTTTCACAACCTGCAAAGAAGGAGTGAAGTCCTGAGCAGCATGGTCTGACCCCATGGCTGAGCCTCTGATGGTCGCTGCAAGCATGAATGATCCTGCCATTGTGTGAAACACAGCCGAACCATTTCCACTAACAAAGTGTAAACCTAAAGGTTTGGCCCTCTCCCCTCTCCAAATGGGCAAACTTCCTCTTCTACCAACATGTAAAGAAGTTGGTAGATTTGCTGTTTCAGACTGTGCAACACGTATTATATAATTAAGTAGGTTTATTTATACTTACAATTTCTAACTTGTTCTACCTTAGAACTACTGAATATATTCTGCTTAATATAGAACCATTTCTCTTTAAATGAGAGACATTTTATTTTTTTATTGCTTTCTCCTATTACAGTAGCCCTCCTGTATTTCATCTCTGTGAAGTCAAGCAAGCAATGCTTCATGTATAAGGCCTAAGTTCTGCTTTTGAAGAAGTAAACATGAATTACTTGGTTGTGAAGACAGATATCTAATTGTGTATTTAAGGTAGGCACATGCTCATTTGCTCACTCTTTCCACCTAAAGACAACACTGAGTTCCTATATGAAGTTAATCACAAAATCACTTCATTTTGTTTCACTGTCTGGTCAATCTTTATTACACTAATCATGTACCAGCAATAAGCAGCAACATCTATATTGTGATGGCTTTTGACATGGGTGCAGGGACTCACCCCTCCTGCCTTTAGCAGCTTTCTTCTGAATTCCTCTGTCGGGTTGTTGAATGTGAGCTTTTCACAGCGCAGGTGATTTACAGGTGGGTGGCCTTCAAGGTGCAGGAATAAGTCATAGTCAAATCGAACTTTCTTAGGTTCTTCCTAAGGGTTGAAAATAACCAAATAGAAACATCTAGCACCAAAACTAACTACGTTGAAAACAAGGGCTATATAAGACTGTCAATTAAAATGAAAATTATGTAATTTTTAACCATTTACTGTCTTCTCAGACACATGATGGGATTTACCATCCGTCAGCTGAGCTACAGTAAATCAGAGAAGCTCCTATCAGCCCATGACAACACGTGGTAAAAATGCATGAACTTCATGAACATCAAGCTGTCCTGACAAGGCTTAAAGTGTTATGTCATGTTTGGCGCAGGCTACAGACATATACATAAGCAAGTATTATGATTCAGCTGACACAGGGTAACCCAATCTTCAATACAATCATGCCTCTGAGCCCTAGACAGTACTGAAGACACTGCAGTAAGTTTTGAATGCAAATTTCTCCACTGAAGACAAACACTATTGTTTTCTTCACAAGTTGTAGAAAGGAGTAAGAATGAAACTGATGCAGCCAACTATATTTGATTTCCTATGTACAGGGTCTGCTCATTTACTAATGAAACTTTATTGCCTTGAATGAGTGCAGACAGCTAGATTTCAAGTGTTCCACCACAGCTTCCAAGCAATTAAAATTCTCTGCCACTGCAGTGAAAAAATTAAACTGAATGTTCCCTGTACCAATATGGAGAGAGAAAAACCAGGAAAGGCAAAATTATCTTAGAAGAAATCATCAGTACTCTACTGCCCTAAGAAAGCCTCAGCTGAAAAAGGACACTAGTGGCATTGAATAGACTTCAGTTTGTAATACCAGAGAAAAGATACTAAGTACGTTTTGTGTTATACGTTTACACAGTCCCTTCTAGAAGCTGTATTTAAGTGCTGTCTTAAGGCAATAGCCCTCCCTCCAGAGGTCCTCCTGTGCAACAGAAGCCATCAAACCAATGTTACTCTTAAGGCAGAACACAAGAAAAAGGTCAAATTCAGGAAACGCTTTAGTAAAAAGGGAACCATGAGGGAAGAGGGGGAAGAGATACAGCAAAATCTTAGCACATATCCAGCCCTATATGCAATCAAAATGTGTGCTCTGTTCAGTCACAGATGCTTAAAAAATTCAGTCAAAAATGTTTAGTTTGATTCAGGATTCCAAATAAGTGAAGAACAGAAAGCGTAGAAATCTCGTTTATTCTAAAAGTTAAATCAGAGGTTTCAATCATAGACAAAAGACATCCTCGTCTTCACATCTCTAAACATGGAAAAGAGACAACAGAAGGGGGACCTGAAATAAAAGGCCTTCAGTAATCTGCTTCTGAAGACAGAAGACAGTAGTTCTCTCAGATAGAACTATTTTCTTGACAGACCATTTTCAAAGATATTTCTTATTGTTAGAAAGATTAACACTTGATTTCTTGCAGAAAAAAATGGAACTGACTTACTCCCCAGTCTGCTTAGACAACTGTGATGTTGCTACAGGCAAACAGTTGGCACCAGAACCTTAGTCATAAAAGCGAAGTTATAAGGAATTATAAATGGGTGTCTTCAAAGAATTCTGTTGAAAGTTAGATGAACATAACCAGTGATTTCAAAGCAGACTTTTACTACACAAAGGACTCCCAATACCACTGCCATTATTTCAGAACAGTGTGACAGTGAAGGGAGAATATGAGTTTATGCAGTTTATGAGCCTTATCATAAATGGACTGCATTCTCCAGAGTGGGAGTCTTTTGACCTAAAAGCATTTTTTCCAAGGACTTTGTCTTAATGGCTAACAGCTATAGCCTCGCTGCTGCTGAATTTGGGAGGAGGGTTTATGTGTCATTTCCCTAATTCTTTAAAGTTTAGAACAGTTTCTGCTGGGGGAAATGCCTATTAAATTTTTTACCAATTTCTGCTTAATTCTGGGAACAGGCACCCTTTAATTCTCCATGGTCCAGGTGGCTTCCCCTACCCCTGCTTTCTCTATTCATTAGGGGACTTTCTGAACCAGAAATTGAAAAGTTGTCTACCTTGAGTAAGTGATGGTGGTCTGTCTCCTCTTCCTCCTTCTATCTCCTCTTTTTCTGTACTGGAATATCTGTGAAGTGGCTTAGGGAGGAAGAGTAGCTGAGCCAGGAGAAAGTAGCAATTTGCCTCAGGAATGCCAGCTCAATTTTTGTGCCACTTTTCCTTTGTATTGTACCAACCCCAGGGAAGGGCATGCTGTTGCAGCTGTGTGAGTTGTATTCCATGACACCAAAATAGGGGTGAGGCATGTTTGCAAACTTCCTAATTCCACATGCTGCTTGAGGGTGAGCTGAGTTGTAATCACTGCTGCCCTCTTGATCTCAGTCTAAGCCACAACTCCTGCTGGAGAACTCCTGAGACTTGCAGGTCTCCACATTCAGCAAAGGCAGCCAAAAGTCTAAGTGGAAAACAAAAAAAGAAATGTTGGGCAGGAAGCTTTCTGTAGAGATGCTTCAATGATTGACTCACTGTCTTCTGACTTTGTCTGCCCAGTGTTGGGATGAGCACTTAACAGAGGAGTTAAAGAGAATCTGTTATTCATCAGATTTCCTGAATGAATCAAACCTGCTTCACTAATGGAGATAGAGCTAAAATGCATACCAAAAAGACCAGTCAACTCACTGAGGCATTCTCTTTCCTTTTCTAACAGCAAACAGGGTAGACTAAGCCCTGCTCTTCACAGATTGATACAGGGAACATTTCAGAACTACCTGTTAAAAATTTACAACTCAGAAAGTGCCTGAGCAAAACTATCCACACCTCACACCTTGACGGAATATCTACTTGAAGGCATACACAGCTAACAGAGTTGTACTCTAACACAAATTGTAAGTGGCCAGGGTTTCAGCAAAAGTCTTTTACTATGCATTTCTATTTTCTTTTGGTTTTAGTTTTTTTACAAAGCATTCAACACATTAAAGGTGTAACACTGACTTGATTAAAATAAATATGTTAAACTATATCTTGGTAATATAAAATAAACACACAGGTATCTTAGGAGTGCATGCAAAGTATAATAACAGGTACACTGAGCCATATGACATACAAAAGGAACCTATAATATTTCAGTTATTAAGGTACTGTACATGAAACCTTGCAAGATTTTTGCTCTTTAATTCTACCCACATCTAATTATTCAAATGACTTATTAGTAATACAGACCCTGTTACGTATATTAAAGGAAACCTCTGTATTTGCTAAGAGACTCACAGTAAGTGCGGCATTTACTTAGGCTCAGAATTTGACATATTACAATAATACAAGCTTTGTACAAAGGCACTGGATTTGTTTTTAAACTGTGCCCCCTGGTAATGTTGAGTTGAGCAGAATCAATGTTCACATGCAGTTTAGAAGAATGTTTTTTCAGACTGAGAATGCAGGATTAAAAAAATTACTGTTTTGAAAAATCAAAACCTGAACAAATTACAAAGAACAGCAATACTAACATAGATCAATTAATTCATTAGGAAACAAACATAATCAAGATCGGTTTCCTTTCTTAAAGTTTAAGTGGCTCTTGAACTTCCTTAAGCATTATTTAAAGTTTGTCTACCTTTGCGTAGGGCTAGTAATTCTTCTGAATAATTACATTCAACTTATTTAACAGGTAATCCTCATTTCATAGAGTTATGTACTAAATACAATTACACATTTCTAAAAGTTACAGTGACTTTGAATTGAGGAACTGCACTGACAAAGATAGCTTTACTCCTAACTTTTAACAGAGTTTATGAATTAAACTGTAAATCTTTAAAAAGTCCTGACATCCATAACATTTTTTTGTTATCTTTTATTTAGTGAAAAGCATGCGATTCCATACCTTGTTTTTGAAGTAAACCTCTATTGGTAAAATGAAACCAGCATACCCAGATTCTTCAACTTTGTAGGGTGGATCCTTGCACACTGAAACAAAGAGAAAAACCTGTATTTAACACTAAAAACAAAAGTTTTAAATGCACAAGTAAACATATGAGCAAATAATCTATGACAACAGTTCTATGGCAGCACCATGACAAAACTGCACACACGTAGTAGGGCATACCTGTGCACAACTCAGTGTGAATCTTGAAAGCAAATTGTTCCTGCCTGCACACAATCTAGGTTAGGGATAACAATTTTTTATTTTTAGCTTTTCCAATCCTTTCAGACTGCTAAAGCAGAACCACCAGGGACTTCAACACCAGGTGGACCCACTGAGTACCCACAACAGCTACACTGGCACTGCAGCCAAGGCTTGTTCTGGGAATGGAAAATATATAGGATTCCACTCAGAGATAGTTAAACATGTAGAGGGCAGAATAACTGCCATTCACATATTCATAACCTAACACTAATAAAATCCTGGTTCGAATAAATGTCATTTAAAATAAATAAATTATTTGAATTAGAACTAATGCTAATAAAATCGAAATCTGTATTATTTGGTGGAGCAGGGTCACAACACAACTTTCCATTACATAGTGGAGAACCTCAGGAAGGTTAACAATTGTATTATGTTAAAACAGTATCCAGGTTTACCTTCTTTAACATGACAGTGAGTATTACTAGCTCCAACATACAATCTTTTCCTTCAAGTTTTCAGTTTATTGTAAGGGCTTTTTGTTACATGAAATCTCCCTAGTATTGAACATAAGCTCTCTGAAGAAAGTAGCACTAGCCTGTCAACTCCAGCCAGTGACAAAAAGAATGTGGTTAAAGAACTTGGAACAGAAGCCACCTTTTTCTTCTCCTGTTTGGCTGTGTGACAATCTCATTACAGAATTCATGTCCATGTAACACATAAGCAGAAAGGTAAGCTAAGCTTGAGAAACCACACATCTCCTGTAGCATCAACTCAGATGCTTCTAAATGCTGCATTGATATGTATGACAACTTGTCATATGCACTACCATCTCAATTACATCATAGGACAATGACAGTTTCTCTACTGTAGACTGGTAGAATGATGCAATTCATATACAAAGGGTTGACTTCTTCAGAAACATTTGCTCAAGCTCTATCAATCTTGCTGACTGAAAAAAATAAATTCAGACACCCAGATGGATCATCATTTGCTAAGGTGCATGCTCTTTTCAGAATTGCCTGACAGTGGCACACTGCACTGTATAAAGTGCAACTTAAACTATACTTTACAAAACATGTGTCTTGCAATCAACTGTGCAGGGCCTGAATACCAAAATTATTCTTTTTAGTAAAGCACTACAGATGGACACTTACCACTCTCTATCATCCTGAAAACATGACAAGGCACATCAGACACATCCAGGAATATAACCACTGATACATTCTCAATAGTATGGTCAGTACATCAGTCTTCTCAGGACATGAAAGCTTGGTTAATCCCCAAGTAAATGAACACAGCAGAATTTTCTCCTACTGAAACAAAAAGGGGCCCAAACAATAGGCCTCAAACCAAGGTTGACTTCTGAGTGAATTCCCCGACCAGCAATCAGCATCTTATCAGCAGACTGAAGCAACCAGCATCTTACCAGCATGAAAATGTAACCCTGGGAACAATCCTTGGGAACTATAAGTAAACAATAGGAAGTAACTATAAATCCCAAATGTAAAGAAAAACAGAAACTCCTCAGACATGCCCGGATCCTGGCCAGATCCGGACATGCCTGAGTGAGGCATATCAATCTACCAGATATCTCCTGTGCGTTTTGTTTAGACTTGTTTGTTAAACTGTATAAAAGCCGGACCCTCTCACAGCAAAGACGGAGACCTCACCTACGAGTGGACGCACCGCATAGGACTTCCCAATTGCCGGGAAAGGCTCTCCGACCCTTCGCTGTGACGGGGCTCCCCAGCTTGATGCACGGGTCTGGATGATGGTAAAGTATGAGGGCAACTGGTGATGTATCTTTCTTAATCACTATAGCTAGCTTTAAATAGTAATGTCTAGGTGCATTACCTGCTTATTCTTTCTGCTATTTCTCCTATAGTAAAATTTCTATTTCTACTGAAGTAAAATAAGCCTATTTCTTTAGCTTGGTGTCTGTGTCCTTTGTGTTAACCCTGTCAATTGGCAAAACAAATTTGGCATCACGGACAGGATTAGAACAAAATGTCATTTTTAAAATCTAAACGTAATGAATCAGCTCCATCTGAAATTCCTGGATGGGAAGACCTTCCTTATAGTTCACTGGCTCTTGAGTGGGCTAAGGTCGGAGGACCATGTGAACAGTGGGAAAGTCGGCTAAAAGAAGCTGAACCACTGGATGTATTAAAATGTATCCAAAAATTATCTATCGAAAAAGGAAAAGAAATTGTGTGTTCGGGAAGACGGGGATGGGTTTTGTTAACAGCATATCGGAAACAGCACCAACAGAAAGAAAAACTGCTGTTAGAGCGCTCCCACATGGAGCGACAGATGTGTGATTGGCAGAATCAAATTGTAATGTTACAGTGTCAAAACAAGTTGCTTGCCGATAAGTTGGATACTTATCAGACTGTAGCTGAAAGAGCTGCAGTAAGAGTTGCACAGTGTAAGTATAAGAAAAGAAGGGGACGAGTAAACCATAGGAAAGTGCATGCTGTGATTGCAGAAGCGGGGGTACAGTGGGATCCTGACAGATGGGATGGAGATATTTGGGATTCTATGATATCTGATGAGGCTGGTTCCTCAGATGAACCTGTGGATGTAAAACCAGTGTGGAGACGGAAAATAGAATTGGATACTAACGGGCAACAAGTAAGGAAGGATGTGATTGAGGATTATACTCAGCATGAAATAAATGATATAATTGAAAGATTTAAGCAGAGACCGGGGGAACCCCTGCTCTCTTGGATGGTGCATTTGCACGATCAGGGAGCAGCAGGGGTAACCCTAGATCCAGAGGACTCTAGGAAGTTTTTAGTTTTAAGTTCTGACTCCTTTGTGCAAGATGCATTCCGAAATAATCCTCAGTATACAAATTTGTTAACCTTGGCTGCCCGGGGATGTAATAATAAATACTCCACGGAGAATGATTGGCCAGGTGGGGAACGTCCCTGGTATACTTTGCGAGACTGTATACAGCGGATGAAGGAGGAAGCGATGAAATTGGCAATCTTTATAGGAGACCCTGACAGAATGATGCAAGCTGCTTTGTCTGTCACTCATAGAAACCGATTGATTAAGACTGCCCCACCAGCATATAAAAATGTAATAATGACTCTCTTAATTAATGAGACCGGAAATCCCATTGATGAGATAATTGAAAAAATACAGCAGCTAGGTGATCTTGGAGAATGGGGCCCCCGAGGAAGTGCAGGAAACCGAAATACTCGGGACAGCCCTAAAGGAAATGAGAACAGAGTCTCTCGCAAAGAAATGTTTACAGCTTTATTGAAGGATGGCCTGTCTCGTGAAAAGATTGATGGTGTTCCAACGAGCTGTGGCGAATATACAAACAAAGAGGGCTGAATAAGCCTAGCAGGAGAGTTCAAAGTTCTGAAACTAAGAAGCCAGGGGTAACTCAGCCTACAGCACCTCCTCCTGAGCCTCAACGGGACTTCCCATCTGCAGACGGTGGGCCCTCCGCGGGCAGATCAGTTGTTCCGGGGGAAAGGGGGGGTTGGGAGCTGTATTCTGATTTATACCCCTGGAAGGAAACTAGGGAAATTGTCCAGCGTAGTAAACGGGAATGAAATTATGGCCAAGCTCCAGTGCAATGGGCATGGAAGGACCGACGGCCCCATGCGGAGGTCCAAATATTTTGGAAAAACCGGTCCTCACAAACAGTAAAAGCCTTAATTGACACAGGAGTGGAGGCCTCCTTGATATATGGGAATCCAAAGAAATTTAAAGGACAACCTGTAATCATTACAGGTCTGGGAGGGAAACAAATTGAAGCTGTACAAACTCAAATTGAAATGAAAATAGGAAACCTCCCAAAACGACTGTATTCAGTCATGATTGTCCCCATTCCTGAATACATAATAGGAATAGACATTCTGAAGGGACTAACTTTGAATCTCCCAGATGGTCAGTACCAGTTTGGGGTGAAAAATCATATCAGTATTAGAACAATTTTAGTAGGAAAAGTGAAAATGCCTCCTGTACAGATTCCTGCTGCTACTAAATTAGTGACTATGAAACAATATAGAATTCCAGGAGGGCATGAGGAGATATCACAGACAATTAAAGATTTATTAGATGCAGGAGTGTTGAAACCAGTTACCACAGCTTGGAACAATCCGGTATGGCCTGTCAAGAAAAGTGATGGGTCATGGAGAATGACAGTAGATTTTAGGGAATTAAATAAACATAACCCACCGCTTACACCAGCTGTACCAGATACTATTACTTTAATAGAAAAGGTACAAAAGCACTCAGGGACTTGGTATGCTCTAATAGATTTAGCTAACGCCTTTTTCACTATCCCAATTGCAGAGGAGCATTGGGACCAATTTGCCTTCACCTGGCAAGGAAGACACTATACCTTTACCAGATTGCCTCAGGGATGGCTGCATAGTCCAACCATTTGCCATCGGACAGTGGCTGAGCATCTGGATAAGATAAAATTGCCTCCTCATATGCAAATAGTGCATTACATTGATGATATCCTAATTCAGGGAAACGATGAGAAGGAAGTGCAACAAATACTTCAACAGGTGGTAGATCATATGAGACAGAAAAGTTGGGAAATTAATCCTAACAAGATTCAAGAACCATCCCAAACGGTAAAATTTTTAGGGATTCAATGGCATTGTGGGCATCGGGAAATACTACCCAAAGCTCGACAGAAAATTTTGGATTTTGCAGTACCACAAAATAAAAATGAGGCACAGAGATTTATTGGATTGTTTGGCTTTTGGCAGCAGCATATTCCCCATTTAGGACAGATTCTGACTCCTTTGCATAAAGTAACAAGGAAAAAATATGAGTTTGAATGGGGAAATGAACAGCAAGCTGC